ATGTATTCCAATCATCATGAGGCTATCTAAATGAGCATTTGCATAAAAGAACGCAAATTATTTTTAATTAGTCTCATTGAATAATAATAATTATTATTATTATTATTGTTCTTGTTGTTGTTGTGATGAAAAACAATATGGTGGCTAAACGAATATTACATGTAAATATATTTTTTTTTAATTTGTTTGTTCCCAGACAAAATTTATCGTCTTCCCCGACGGGGGGCAATAGCCCCCCCTCTGGCGCCACCACTGTTACTAACCCATACATTTTTTTAAGGGTCACATAATTATGTCTAGTGGGTTCTGTATTTTTCATTTTTAATCTTTTAAACTTCACATATTGAACTGTTAAATCTAGGTGGTCTCCCTAAATTGTTGCTTTTTTTCATCAACTCTCCAAGGTTTCACAATCACAATTCCACATAGCATATGAATTTCCAATCAGATAAATGGACATTAGTCAAACCTCTAATTTGATTGATTTATTTCAGCTATTTTGTATGGGACTTAATTATCACTGAGCTCATTTCTTTATATATTTTAAGTAATAATAATAATAATAATAAAGATGCCGGACGGCGGCAGCAACAATAATAAAAATAATATAATAAAAATAATAGTAATAGTGCAGTAATGCCAAAAAAATAATGAGACATTGAAATTGTATATCATTGACTGCTGCAGTTTCATGCAATGGGCAATCACCATGGTCAGTGTCAATGAGCTATAGGAATGTATAAATAGGTAGTGAGTTTTTGGAACTGGGGCGGATTGCTATAATTGGTTTTTAGACGGTCTTAACACTTAGCCGGCTGTAATCATGACTTCACTTCTGGTATGTGATTACTGGTCTAACCACCATTTTAATATTGGACTTTTATTTGTAATGTTTAAATTTATAAATTACCATCATTCAAGTACAGTACTGAACTTTATTTCCTGTATTTTTTTGATCCCATATGAATTCTCAGTATTTCTAACCTATAATGGTAATAAACCTTGGTACAGTTACCTAAGCCCAATTTATTAGCCTTGCTAAATACCAGTGACAACTGATGTGTTTTGGTCATGACATTGGTGTGCACAGGTTAACTTGACCTACTACGGGCCATAAACTACAATATCATCAGCGATATTTTGACAACCTCACAGTTCACGATTACTTGTCGAACGACGTGTTGGAATAGCTTGGGGGCTGAATTAATTCCGAACATTAAACGTTTGTACAACCTAGCATGAGTGACAAATGTGGTAACCTTCCTTGAGATACCCGGTTTCAATTCCAACTGATGAAATCCTTTGTTCAGATCCAACTTGGTAAATACCTTGTTCCCATTTATTTCACTGATTACTTCATCTACCGTTGGAATAGGATGTCTTTAACTCTAACAATTTCTTTGTTTACACATTTCATATCCACACACAGACGTATATCCCCATTTGGCTTTGGGACAATAACCACTGGACTCACACAAGGGGTGTGACCCTCTACACATTCTATTATATCCATCTCTTCTAACTCCTTAAGTTTTGCCTCTAATTTTAGTCTTAAACTATACGGTATTCTTCTACAAGGCTGAGCAATTAGCTTTGCATCTGCCTTTACATGTAACTCAGCTTGGTAATCTGTCAATTTTCCCTCTTTACCACTAAATACCTCTCTGTAGTCATCTTCAATGGAATTTACAGGCAGCGAAATTCTTAGAACCTGCAACTCTATTGAGGTTTTCCTGCCCAATAATGGTCTACCATGTGCTTCTGCAAATAGAAATGGCACATTATCTACCTTACGACTACCGACCTGTACTGACATAGGCGTAGATCCCGGGGGGATAGGGGATATATCCCCCCCAATATTTGACAAGGGAGATGGTCCATTGTATCATCCCCCCCAATATTTTGACTATGTATGGGATAAAATGGAGCTTTACACACTTCAAAAGACTGTCACAGAAATAATTTGCACTGTCTTATGCGCTTACAAAGATGAAAATTAGCATAATGTATTAATGTTGATAACAAAATTATTTTATCTGGTACAAATCTAAGCTCTTCTTTCCTTAGATGTTAGATGTGCTTGCAAAAAGAGCCACATTTCACACTGAAGGGCGTGTACGACATCAGTAATGTTATGTCAATTCCAAGAATGTTTAAGGTTATATCGGTTGATGAGGAATTTATTGATTAGGCCTATAATAGCAAATTGCATCAATGTATTTTGCAAAAACAAGGTTTCCAGCTTCAGAGGGGGCACATCCCCTGTCCGCACAAGGGCACACATTGGCGCTAACAAGGGTCTTGGGTCAGAGTGGGTATTTATTTTTTTAAATTTTTTTTATTTTTAATTTCAACCATCTTTAAAGAGGGTAGCCCTTCTAATTTAGCCCAGTAGTTTAACTGATATTCAGGGGCCCTCTTTAATAAAATTAAAGAACAGTACAAACAACACCATTACAACATAATAATAATAATAATAATAATAATAATAATTATTATTATTATTATTATTATTATTATTATTATTATTAATAATAACAACATACAATCCTCATTTCCCGGTTAGTAATTTACAATACCCACTCCCCATCCCACTCCCCACTCCCCATCCCACTCCCCATATAGAAAAAAATACAACATATGGCTTATCTTATTTATAATATAGGCCACACACGTGTGTTTGAAACTAAATATAAGCATTTTCATCATGGTTTTATTTATTACGAACATATTCTTTCACCATCTATACACATTGAGGCCCTTCTTTTAGGTTAAAATGATCTATCTTAAATTTGTCTTTCTTGAGTTTGGGACTATTATGTGTTTAAATAACTTAAAAGGATAAAACTAAAAAAGCCCTAAAAAATGTGTGCCAAGCGCGCAAAATATTTTTGTGTTTTTAATTCTAATTTCGTCGGAATTGATTAAAACTCCCTAGAATGTGCAATTTATAGAGAAAATTGGCCTACCGTAACAAGAAATGTGCGCAAAGAATTTGAGAATTTTAGGCACTTTCAGAGAATGTATTTCTCAAAGGGTGAAAGATTTTCCAAAGGTGGATAATTTCCCCTTGTCCCCCGGTGTTTTTAATTCTAATTTCGTTGAAATTGATCAAAACTCCCTAAAATGTGCAATTTTTAGAGGAAATTGGGCCAT